AAAGTGTTATAATATGAAGATTGAAAAATGTATAAACATATATACCTACCATGTAGCAGTCATGTAATCGTGTACCTACAGGTAAATTTTTATGTTAATAAACCCCCGTTCCCACGAACATTATGAATAATATTATTATTACCTACTTCAAATTTTTTGATTTAGATGAGATTTGTGGCACTCAACTTTCACATTATACAAACAACATTGTTAAAACTTATTTGTGTAGATAAATTTGACATTTTGACAATTCCATTCAGTGGCGGCGCCAGGAATTTTATCTTGGGGGGGCCCATTGGTGGCCTTTGAAAATTTGGTAGGGCCAAAAAAGTCCCAATTCGTTGTCTTTTTCCCATTCATAGGCTCAGTATAGGGTAGGGGGCTTACACACTATCTATTGTAAAGACTGTGTTGCATATACTAAGTTTTCATATAATTATTGGTTTTCATTTTAATTGATAATAAATATCATATAGGTATAGGTATATTATTTAATATTTACACACTTAAACATTAGATAACATTTTCAACAAACTTACATAAACAATGAGTAGGTACTTTATTATAATATAGGTAATACACAAATTACATTTGTTTTTAAGTTAAAACATTTATATTTAAATAAAAAAATTACACAATTTTTATTTGCCTTAGCATTTAGCAACTTACTAAATATTACAAAATCTAGTTACAACGTTACAAGCAAACATAGTAAATAGTCAAAAACAAAATTATATTAAATGGTATACATATAATTGATATCTACTAATTGTTAGAAATGATGAATATAAAATGAATTCACACATTTAAACACTATATAATAATTATAATTTGTATTAAACAGAAATATAAATAAATTATGATAAATTAAAAACTATAAAATTAACTTTTATGTGCCTTGTGCCTATACTTTAATTTAGCTGCTTATTGAATAGGTAACATAATTAGGAATCATAAACATATGATAGATACTTTTTTAGTTTATTATACACTCTTGTCACTGTTTTTTTTTCATTTTATACAATTTTTATTATGATTTATATTTTATAGTATTACTATAAATTATGTCAAATTAAAATAATTCGACGGTTTTGGTGCAATGATGCAAATTCATTAATAATGTCATCAATGTTTAGACTTTTGGCTTCTAATTTTTCAATGGCTATCACACTCAAATTTGACATATGAGAATCCATTAATTTATTTCTGAGATAGTTTTTTACCCGTTTAAGACAAGAAAATGTTCTTTCACATCCAGCTGAGGAAACAGGAATTGTAATAGATATTAAACAAAGTTTATGCAGTTCTGAAAACGCAATTTGATACTCATTTAGAAAATCATATAAATTAAAAATATCATTTATTTTAGTTGTAAATTTATTTTCATAGTTTTTTAATGATTTAGGCAATATTTGTAACTCTGATTTTAAAGTCTCTATTTCACAATTATAGGACTGTGCTAAAGGCAATAATAATGAAACATTTAAAAATAATTTAAAATTAGGGTCTAATGAACTTATACCATTCAAAATATCTGAATTGTTATCAAATCTTTTTTCTAGCTCATTTATTACTTGATCTAAAATGAAATAATATATTTTAGAACGAAATTCGTTTTCAGTTGTTATATTTTGTTCTTTTTCTATATTACTTGTCTCGCATACATATTTTACCAAATAAGTAGGGATTTTTTTTACTCTTTTTTTTGTTTTTTCTGAAGAAGGTAAATCAATATTAAGTTTTTTAGAAAGCGTTTCTGCTTCATTAAACAATTTTGTATGAGGTATTTTATTTCTTAGATCATTTAAAAACTGTTTAGTTGTTTCAATTAATACCATAGCTTTAGTTATATCTGCTTTAACATCCTGCAAGTATAAGTTAACTCCATGTATATGAGATAGCAAATTATTGAAAAATAATAATAAGTACACAAATTTAAAATTGATTCTTTTAAGTAAACTTTTGGCCTCTAGGTTACGGTCATTTTTACTTAATACTAATTGATTCAATAATAATAAAATAACTTCTATAGTATTTTTTATTGCTTTACAAGAGTGAATTTGAGATGACCACCTTGTGAGACATAAACGTTTTAGTTCTATAGGTTTAATATTAAGGACCTGCTTTTGTAATTCTATAAATTTAATATGAATATTAGAGCCAGAAACCAAAAACATATAAATCTTGTACAAGAGTAAAAAATACATCAGTTTCTTCATTATTTTTGGCAATATCAACAAGGACTAAATTAAGTCTATGATTTGCGCAATGCATGTAATATGCTTGGGGAACTTCTTTTTTAAAAATTGTCTGAACACCATTAATATGACCTCGCATCACACTTGCGCCATCATAAGTTTGAGCTACACAGTTGTTTATGTCTATTTGACATGTATGCAACATTTCCTTAATTTTTAAAAATAATGAATTTGCATCAAGACCATTTAAAGGTGTAAAACCAAGAAATCTTTCTTTTATTTCACCATCAAAAAAATACCTCAAAACTATAGATAACTGTTCAGTTTTAGAAATATCTTTTGTTTCATCAGCTAATACTGAAAAATATACACACTCTTTTACTTCAGAAGATATTTTTTTAAGAGAAGCCATAATGTGGATAATTTCATTCTGAATTGAATGGTGTAAGTACCGAGCATTTTTTGGACCAGTAATTTTTTTTTTAACAATATCATTAAAACTAGCTATTACATTCATTAATTCTAAAAAATTCCCTCTATTTAAACTATCCTCAGTTTCAATATGACCCCGAAATGCACTACCTTGTATAGCAAGCATTCTTAGAGAAATAATTATAGCTTCCAAATATTTCCTATTTTCAACAACTATTTGAGCATGATGATCACCTAATTGAGATAATACTGATGTTTTGTTAGTTTTATTTTTTTTATAATCGATCCAAGTAACAGCATTTTGTTTATGGTCTTCAGAATTATCATGCTTGTATAATCCTTTATTATTTGATAGTGCATTTTTCCAATTTTTATACCCAGTGCTTTTAAAAATATTATCACAATCAGTTTTTAGTTTAAAAGAAAAAAATCTACATGGTAAGCAATATACTGCATCTTCTAATTTACTATATTCTAACCATTTAAACTGGTCAAACCAACCTACTTGAAAACCTCTTACTCGGCTAGAATGTCCAGTTCCATAAATGGTCTTTGGGTAATATTTTAGTTTTGGCTGGGTTGGTCCTTCATCTATAGTCTGTGAAATATCTTTGGGACCAGGAGCTGTACGAACATTGAGTGGCGTAACTACATGTGTAGGAGTTATTATTGAATTTGCCTCAAACACATTTTGATTATCTGTAGATTCATCACTGGAACTGTTACTAAAATCAAAATGGAATATTTATGATTAGGTTGGTGAATGAAAAATATACACATATTTTTTTTAAATAGATATTAAATTTAATTATATAGGTACCTGTTTAAACTACCAACATTTTCTTCTTCACTATCTTCACTAATGAGTTCACCAAAGTCACTAAATTAAAAAAAATAATATAAAACAAATAAATTATATACTCTAATTTATTATTCTAAAATAATAATTGAAATTAAAATCTCTTACTTGCTTTTTTGTGACAAAATTGAATCAGAATCATTAGTTTGTTTTTTATTTATTACTGATGCAAAAAAGTCATTTATTTTTCGTTTGGACATTATTAAGTTAAAAATTATACAACGTTTAAGATGATATCCTTTACGAGTACGTAAGTATAATGATAATCTTTGTTGTTTAACTACGCGTCTTTTAAATTGTATTATTATTGGGTTTTTCCCGTTTTTCATATTCGACATGGTATAGATAACATTAAACCGATTAAACTGTATTATGCACTGTAAAATTGTAAAATGTAAACGTAAAACGTAGACAAAAATAATAATACTCATTGTCAATAAAATATTAAATCGTTGACAAATGACATTATGTCACAGATAGGCACGGTTCGCGGATATAATATTATATAGCCGTGCAGACGGGCATCATACGGTCTTATAATAATAATAATTTATAACCACAATTATTCGATATTTCGATTTATAATCTGTTCTTTTAAATAATTTTTTTTCTCTTGTAGTTAGGGGGGCCAAGGGGTGGCCAAGACAAATTTAGAGGGGGCCGTGGCCCGCCCAGGCCCCCCCCTGGCGCCGCCACTGATTCCATTAATTATCTAGATACGATCATATTTGATAATAATATTATATTTAGTCGTCTAGATAATGCAAACACTGCTTTGCTTACCTAGTTACCTATATAAAGATTATTTATGCTTTTAATTTTTGTAATAATTAGTTTTGCACTTCAAGTACCTAATAGCATTGATTAATCATTGACTTAATAAACGATAATATATTATCTTTGTGTTATCATGACGTGGGAATGTGGACAACCTTGTTCAAAAATGTGCTCGTGAAAAAATCGTCGATTTCGTATTAACTAATTGTGTCTAATGTCTGTTTTCCATATTATAGTGTATTAAGTGTGATAAATAGTGTACCTACCTATATACAATCTTGACATTGCAATACATAATGTCTGCGAATTGATATAGTTGAGAGTGCATTTCATTAGATTTGTTTGTACCTACTGCACTCGAATATTTTTATAATCTATAAATTAAAACAGTATTATTAATAGACGGTCATATGGTTATCATTTGAATACATACGACATACGTTTATACAAGACCATGTAGTAAGGACTTCGGATCGTGTTTTTTTTTTATTTTTTAGATAACCACTGAATATTTACTCAATTAATGACACGCGGGTGTGTACTATACGCACGTTTAATCTTACTCGATGAAAAAAATCCCCGATAACTCGTAAGTATTACAATAACGGCATAGGTAGCGATCATGCTTTTACGTGAATAATATTATTAAATCATAATAATATATTATTATTGTACCTCCACGACGAGAATATTTTTTGCTGCCGTTCCGTCGCAGTCCGCATCCTTGCGCCGACATGATCGTTTTGGCGCTGATCGCCGCCGCCTTCATGAACGGTAACCACTTGTATAACCGAATTATTTGTCCGGTGACATAAAATGCTAAAATATTATTATTATGTGACCACTATATGATTGTCATCATTTTTTTTTCTCTATCGGACGCATTTGCGACATTAATTTCCAACTCCGTCGTCCACGTGGCGTGTGTGAACTATGATCGCATACTCACACAATATCAGGCGATTGGCTGGCGGTGATGGCGCACACGCAAATGTACTTCGACGGAGGACATCAACCTGCACAATTATCGCACCACCGACCGCGGCTGTCCTGTTCGTCGTTCTTCGATGAATTCAAAGTGCAATTATTCTGGGCCATGGTCGTCGGATACGGTATATACTTTGGCTTTTGCGGGTACTTGGAAGTGAGTGCGTTTTCGCATAATATTATTGTAATATTATTGTATATTCCGTCCGATTGATTTTTCGTTATTCGCGTGACTCGCCCCTGCAGTGGAAATACTATGTAAAGGGACGTGGCAAGGAAGCCCAGTGGAAATGTCAACCGAACCGGCACTTGCCCAGACACCTGGTCTGGGATCAGATCAAATGGGGCTGTATAGGTCTGATGGTGACGAACGCGGTGTCCGCGGCTGTGGCCACACACGTCAGTTGCGGCGGTTACAGCAAAGTTTACACAGGATTCGGCCAGTACCCGTGGTGGTGGTGGATACTCCAGTGGCCAGTGATATTCTTCCAGCAGGTCGGTGGTATGGTTTTGAAATAGTTGAAGAATATTACAAAGTTAATGCGTGGGAACATAATCGTTTCTGTATATTTGAACCTATAGATTAGGTATATAATTGTGTTTCAATTTATAAGTTTTGTGGATATTTTTTCCGACTAAGTGAAACACAAACTGTTGTGAATGTTTTTATATTATTATCATATCTATAATATTGAAGAATGTGATTCTAACCGGTTGGATGATCGTATTTCATTTGACCTGGTACAAATAAATAACGTCATTAAAACTATTTTGGTTGAAACATCTATTATTCCTAAGAAAGTTATTCGTATCGGTCGTTCGCAAGCGGGAAAATCACGTCCAATTAAAGTCATCTTTGATTCTAAGTCTGATGTATTTGACATTATTAAGAATAAACGCAAGTTATCACAATGCAATTCATCACTTTCATCGATTAATATAAGTACTGATCGGACCCTGTATCAAAGAGAGACTATGAAGAAATTACGCGAGGAATTAAATCAACGAACTTCAAAAGGTGAAATGGATTTAACGATCAAGTTCGTTAATGGTGTCCCAAATATTGTTAAAAAATCGGAAGTCATCTCTACTCATTCTCAACCTCAACAATCTCAAAATTTTTTAAAATAAATGTTATATATCAAAATGTAAGAGGTCTCAGGACGAAACTTCAATTTTTTCGTAATTCTGTTAATAATTTAAACTGTGATTTATTATTTTTATCCGAAACTTGGTTAAATGATACTATTAACGATGTAGAACTTGGTATTGTTAATTTTAATATTTTTAGAGCTGATAGAATTGGTACTCATGTTTGTAGAGGAGGTGGTGTGTTGTTGGCCATCAGAGATAATTTGGAATGCAGGCGTATTGTAATTGATGATATTGGCGGTATTGATCAGGTATTTGTATTAGTTAATTATAATAATGTTAAATTATTGCTAGGCTGTGTTTATATTCCTCCCAATACCCATAAAGATATATATATTAAACATTGTGATTTAGTGGAAAATATTATTCTTGTTCATTCAATAGTTAATATACTCATTATTGGTGATTATAATGTTTCTGGCTTCTCTTGTACTGATTATACCCAAATTAATGATCTCAATTCGAATGTTATAATTAGTTCATTTATTAATTATTTGAATTTAAAACAAGTTAATAGTATCCTTAATGACCGGTTTGATATCTTAGATTTAATTATGACTAATAATTGCGTAGATTGCATACGTCTAGGTAGTTCACTCACACCGTTAATTGATTCTTGTCACCCACCATTGGATTTTATTTTATCCATTTCTACACCTGAATTTCTTTCCGAAACATCATGTCCAGTTGTTTTTAATTTTAATGCATGTAATTATAATGATGTTAATCTGTTTCTCAATAGCATTGATATAATGTCTAATTTGATAAATCTTAATGTCGATTTAGCGGTTCTTAAACTAAATGAAATTATATCCCATTCGTTTGATATGTTTGTTCCTAAAATTAAATTAAATCATTATGATACGCATAGTTTATATCGGTCCAATCCTATTTTGAGAAATTTAATTAAACAAAAAAAACAGGCTCATAAAAAATATAAAATTACTAATTCACATTCAGATTACATATTTTTTTCTAACTTACGTAGTAATTGTAAAAAATTGTCTTCTCGAATTCAAGCAAATCATTTGTTAAAAATTGAAAATAATATTAATATCAACCCGAAGTCGTTTTGGAATTATATTAAATCTTTGAGATCTAATCGTTCTAATATTCCTCTTTCAGTATTTTTGGACAATATTTCTGCGAATAATATGGATGATACCATTAGGTTGTTTGCCAAATATTTTTCATCAGTATACACAACTAACACAACTAATAATATAGACGATTATAATAATGATTTATTTTATAATCAGTTTCATAATTTTAATTTAAATTCATTTATTATTTATGAATACGAAATTATAGATTTTATTGGTTCACTTAATGACAAGGCAAGTATTGGGCCCGATGGAATTCCTACAATTTTTTTGAAAATGTGTTGTAAAACTCTAGTTAAACCTTTACATCATTTATTTAATTTGTCTCTATCCAGTGGAACATTTCCTCTTTGTTGGAAAAAATCTTTCATTTCTCCCATATATAAATCAGGTGATAAACAAAATGTGAAAAATTATAGGCCAGTTTCGAAAATGTCAATTTTGCCAAAAATGTTTGAAGCTATTATCTCAAAAAAATTATCAAATTTATTGTGTAATAATATAAGCTTATCTCAACATGGATTTGTACCAAAACATTCGATTCAAACTAATTTATTATTATATCATAATTATCTTGTAAAAGCTCTTGATCAAGGCTCCCAAGTAGATACTATTTATACGGACTTTCAAAAGGCGTTTGATAAGGTGAATCATAATTTACTATATCATAAATTAAAAAATATTGGTATAGGTGGGAACATTTTACAATGGTTATTTTCGTATCTTTCTGATCGTACTCAAGTAGTTAAAATTATGTCTTATGTTTCTGATGATTATCCTGTCTTATCAGGTGTTCCTCAGGGCAGCCATTTAGGTCCTTTACTATTTTTAATTTTTATTAATGATCTCCCACTAGTCCTTGATTGTTCTATAAACATTTTATTATTTGCGGATGATGCGAAGATTTTCTGTACAATAAATTCTTTAAGTGATGCTGAATCTCTTCAGTATAATCTTAATAAATTTCAATTATGGAGTAAATTAAATTTATTACCGTTAAATATTGATAAATGTCATACGATAACATTTACACGTAAAAAAAATCCCATCTTGTTTAACTATAATATTGAAATGTTTTCTCTCACTAGAGTAAATGTAATCAAAGATCTTGGTATTTATTTTGAAAGTGATCTTTCTTTTAAAACGAACCATAAAATGATAATTAATAAATCGTTTAAGATGTTAGGCTTTATTAATAGAAATACTAAAGATTTCAAAAATCCGTTATGCTTAAAAACCTTGTATACATCTTTAGTTAGATCCAATCTTGATTTTGGCTCCGTAATCTGGTCATGCAAATACTTGACATATATAAATGATTTAGACAATGTACAATATAAATTTTTAAAAAGGATTTCATACTTATCGAATATTCCATTATCTAGGGACTCTCTCCATCTAACTCAAGATTATATTGGCCTTGTTTCTCTTTCACTTAGACGGAAATTAACTGATATTATGTTTGTCTATGATCTTATTAATTACAATATCATGTGTCCCGAATTGTTGTCTGAAATCAGTTTTCGAATTCCACATCTAATTACACGTAGTTCAGATTTATTTTTAGTTCCTCATTATAAAACGAATAGTGGTACCAATTCTTTTTTCTCTCGAGCTTTAATTTCAGCTAATAAAATTTGTATACATTTAGATATATTTTTTCTCTCACGCAATTGTTTTAAATCCAAATCTATGTTATTATTAAAAAATATTGATTGATTAATATAAAAAAAAAAAAAAAAAATGTTTATAATGTAATTATAATTTTATATTTTTATTACTTTTAATTCAGAATTAATTTTATATTATTTTTATCTGTATTTGTTATGTGTTACTACACTTACTTAGTTTTTAGTTTTTATCTAATATGTTTCCTTTATATAATTTGTAAAAGGGTATATACCCGTTGATATACAACATAAACATAAACATAAACATATATATTTCATCATTTTTTTTTACTTAGATTTAATTTTTATCAGTGTTTATACGCAAGATAAATTATTCATGGTAGGTATTCGTATTTTTAAGTGAAATTACATAATAGTATGGGATTTGCTAAGATGTTAATAATAAAAAATATACATTAACATCGTCTGTTAAATTCGGTAGTCTGCAGCAGTGTTTATAAAAGTCTAAAATGCGCATTTGTCCGTACAGGATTACGTGACTTATTGGATTCACCGGTCGTTTCACTCGAAGTTTTTGTTCAAACACTTTCACAGCATCCACCATAGGTACTTTCAGCCTACGCCGTGGTCGGTGACCGCCATACATCCGTTGGAGTTGACTACCGTTCAACTGGCCATGGTCTTGCCAATATTTATTTATCCCGTGCATTGGTGTGAGTATATCTGAATTACTATAGGTGTTGTGCAAAATATATAGGTATATTATTATGCTTGTACTCCGACCAGCATTGTATACATTAGTTGTCTATCAATTGGCTACTGCGGTCTTATTAAGCCATCATATGGTACTTCCGAATTAAATTTATTCACATTTTTCTCCACAGTTCCGTTTTACGGATTGGCTCTTTACACTTACTATCACGGTATCGTGCAACACTCGGGAATCGCTTTCAAGGCACAGTGGTGGCAGCCCTGGCAACCGGATTGCATGTTCCACGACAATCACCATCAGTACTGTCACGTCAACTATGGATTTAATTGCTCTATTTGGGATAAGGTCTAGATTATAAAAAAAAACTACGTATATAGGAAGAGACTATAAATAATTGTAAAAAAACCTTCTCGACGTTTACCGAGTTTTGGTTTTTTAGATCCACGGATCCATGAGAAAGATCGATCGTTGTTACAGCGAGCACACGGATTCTTGGGGTTCCGGACGACCATTGGCGGACTTGTCAAGCAAAGAACGGCACCGAGAAATTCAGGAGAGGATAACTGAAAACCCGATGGCTTACCGCGAACAATTTAACCCTTACTTGTTGAAAGATGTCGACGGTGACGTCGAATAATAATTGCAAAGGCTATTATTTGAGTGATCGCTGCAAATTATTTGGGTCGACCTCTCTTCTATTTATGTATATAAGATCTAGACTAATGTTTAAATTAAATGACTTGCATTTAATAAATTCAGTATCACTGACACATTATTAATAATAACAAAAATGTGAGCAGTGTTATTTTTTGTTTCATCAACTAATCAATATTCAATATATTATGTATTTATGTACTAATATAATAATATGTGAATAAGAAAATCGATAAATGACTGGAGCTGCAGTAGCTGTGGACCTGAGTGCTGTGCGCAGGTATACTGAAGTTTCAACATAACATACAAACATAATATGTCCTCTTAACATTTTAATATTAATATTAAAAAAAATTGTTTTGTAACCTTGGTTACCAAAAAAGGACCATGATTTGTCATTGATTTCAAAATAATTAGATACCTAACACTTTATCCAATTAGTGGTCTACTCAATGAGAGATACACTTGACTCCTGTCTCCTACTATATACAGCATTACAGCAGAGCGTTTACCTACTTATTTTAGAAATCTAAACTACAGTCTAGAATTACAAATAAGTCCTAATTTTAAAGAAAAATGATATATACATAATACATTGTTTGAAATATTATTATAATGATTTAATATAATCCTTGTATACCTAGTTATATATATAAAAGAACAGGCCTGTAGCAATTTTCTGACGACACTTGAACTTTTTTCCAATTTTGTTTTACATAGTTGTTCCAAAACTCTCCTGATTTTTCATTTTTTTTGTCTGTGGACAGGAGGGGGTGTATATATAATAAGTTATATTATAAGTTACTATTTTTTAGCTTGTCATTTAAATAATTTAACGACTTTTTTCACAGAGTTGTTTCAAATACTCCTCCGAGTGATCTATTATTTCCAATTGTATTGTTACTTAAAAAAATGCAAATCCTGTTGTTTACGAAGGTTTTATTCGTCATTTCAGTAACTGAACTGTAATCCGTTTTTATGTTTTAAATATACTTTCAATTTCTGTTGTTTGCGTGAATTGTACATGCACCGATTATATTATAATCGTTTACCTTATACAATTTATTAGTATATCTTTAATAAAGACTAACCGAAACTATAAACTACATAGGTACTAATATAAATTTTGTTACATACAAACAGTTTTAATATTAAATACATGCAAGTTATATTTAAAACAGCGATAATTTATTTTTATACCTCGAGTCACGAATAGCTGAATTAAATAAATTGAGTTATCGAAAAAATTTAGTTTCAATATTTACATTACTGCCTATAACGATTAGTTAAAAATTAAAATGTATTGTCTTTATGACATTGTCTAACATAGTAACATCGAGGTACGCTGAAATACGTAGCTCCACATTTTAGGTGTTTTCATTTTTACCCGGGAGAAGTCGGGTGGTACAGGCATACAACTATAACCTGGTAATAACTAATAATATTAAAGTAGAGGTTATTTTGTTACAAATTATATTACATTTCTATTTATAGTCGTTTTAAAATTAAATACAAGTTTAGATAAATCGCTTGGGGATATTTTTTACTATTAATGTATAAACATATTTGTTACTATAAAATGTTTGTTGCTCTAATAAAATTATCATTAATATTATGTTAGTTTTATTTAATGTGATCAATCATTAATGACATCTGTTTTTCTAATGGACTTTATACAATTATACTTAGTGGTGGCCTGCAGATGGACTTCAAAATTGTGTAAAAAATAAACAATGGTTAATCTGAATATTATTAAACTCCTCGGAAAAATATCCTATAGGTTTGATTATGCATTATGTATACAGTATACTTATGTTTAACAACAACTACAGTTGTACACTAATTGATAGTTATACCTAATTCATTTTTAGTTTCCATGTCATCTTGTTTTAATTTTTCATTGGAGTAATATTATTAATTATTATGTTATATAATAAGTGTTAAAATATACAATAGTTTACTCTCGTACAAAACGCGATCATTATACTAATTCTGTCGGGCTGCGTTCGAATATTCCTCGTGGCTCGTTGTCATATATTACATTATTTATATCACTTTACAAGATTTAATATTCCGGCGATATACCAGCTATTATGTTTCCGTCGTCGGCATCGCCGGTGTGGGACTGTAGTAATTTTCTGTTTCAATTTAATAGAGAGTTCGCACACATTACGTACACACACACACACACCCCACATCTCTATTATTCCACTTTACATTGCGCAGCATATTATAATATTAATATGTATATAATATTATACTACTTATTTGTGTATGCTATATCTGTTGTTATAGTGTTTGTTATTTTTCCGTAAGGCTCTACACGAGTTAAGGTGAGCACTTTGCTATTAACACGTTAATCATGTTGGCGATATTAATCTAGACCGGCGTGCGCGTATCCGCCCTGAACGCACTCGGAACTGCCCCCCAGGCGCCTCATAAATTCGCAAATCCTCCGTAGACCTAAAACGAATATACTGTACAGGCGTACAATGTATATAGATAAATATAAGGATGTATGTATGTGTGTGTGTGTGTGTGTGTGTATTTATATATATGTATGTATACAGAGGTCAGAGACAGTTAGCGGTGTGGTGTTTTGGCAAAGAGAAGGAAAAAATATTCACGATATGTAGGTACACGTAATGCGGCCATAAATTACGTGGCGATCGCGCCGTGGAAACTAATAATAATAAAAAAAAGAGATACTTGCTGCCGCAGTGGTTCCCAAATGTAGCGAGTATGTGGTATAATGTGTGTGTGTGTGTGTGTGTGTGTGTGTGCAGACGATTTTTTGGGCGCAGTATAGAGTTCAAGAGTTGTAGTAAAAAAAACGCTTTTTCGTCAAAAACTGAGGTTATTGCGCGCTCTCGGAATTGAGAAATAACCGGAAGGATAGGGGAAATGGCGTTTTTATTTTTATTTTCTTAATACCCGCACAATCTTCTTTTTCTTACTGGCCTCCCGCGGGTGTATTTCCAATATTTCTTCACCGGAGGCATTATACCGATCCCGCTGACCATTCCGACAACCGATTTCCAATTACTTTTGGCCATAACCCTGTATGTATCGCACTATCGCCATATATATACGTGTGTGTGTGTGTGTGTGTGTGTTAGAGAGAGTGTATCGTGATCACGTCACTATCCAGTATCCACAAAGGGCTTATAAGACGATAAACCGTTTCAATTGTCTTTATTGCGATTATTGTGCCTTGTTCACAATCAATAAGTCGTTTTGAAAATGAAATAATACAGCGTCGATTGCTCGTACAAATGTACCTACCTATTTCACACACACAAATATATATAAATATAAGTTCGTACATAATATGTACAGTAAGCAATAGAGTTCAAGATTATCGGAAAACTACTATCTATTGTAATAGTTCTTGTCAAAACTTTAGAACAATAAGAACAAAGTATCGGTAATAGCAACGTATTGGTATTGTAGTATTCAAGTATTGTATTGTTATTAAATCTATATAAGAAGTTAAAATGCATAATAATTGTTACTCAATCCTTATATGAAATCGATTTAATGGATATTTACCATTCAGTAATTACCCAAGTGGTTTTTTTTTACTAAGCAAATATTTTGTTCGCAAAATCTCAACAGTAGATTTACCACAAAAACAGGAAGATGCATATTTTTAACTATAACCTAATTCATATTTACTTATCTGAAATACAAATTCATAATATTTACATATTTTTAATCTACCTACCAAAATTATTGAATAAAATAATATGTGTTTTGTAAATATTAATCAATCAGAACATTGCAATTCTACAGTGTCTATATTTTAACAATTTTATTGTTTTGACTGATACACTGAATATTAATACATTTTTGGAAAGTGTTTGATGTTGAAGATCCAATAAATAATTACATTTTAATGGTATATTCAATATTATTCTTTATTGAGTTTTAATTTTGTACGTAGGTACACATCGACAAGGAAGGGGTAAAAAATATGCAAGAATACATGTAATTGGTGCTAAAGATAGGAAAAATTATCAATTTATTAAAATATTGTTTATACTAATTTCGCCTTATTATTGTTACTTAATACTTATATAAGTATAATACTAAATACTTGTATGAGCTATAAACATAATCACTTGTACATTTACATTTGTGTGTATTTAAAAAATACTGCTCAATACTTATATATAAACATAATTACACAACTTTGTTATTATAATGTTATGGTACAATAATATGCGATCCAGAATTGTTGCACCATGGAAATTGTATAGGTTCTGTTGCTCGAATTCATTTATTCATACACATAGATTTATTGGAGGTAGGTGTATTAACTATTTTTAAGGAAAATAATATAGATATTGCTTTTAAAATAGTTATTGTCTTATGACTTTATAAGGGTTTAAGGTACTAAAAAATAAGTTGAATTGAAAGTCCAAATACATTTTATCAAAGAATAAAAGAACTAGACTACTGGATATTCTTAAAAGTCAGAGCTAAAATGTTCATGAATCATCTAGATTAAAAAATAATTGGCTAATTACTTCACCATACTACCATTATAGGGCATAGGCATTTAGGGAAAACGGGTCTTTTACAAATTATGTAATGATCACAACGAGTGATGATGTAACTGAACACTAGATCGCGCGAGTAATATGTATATAGGTATTAAAATTATTTTAAATAGTTAATTATACTTTATACCAATATTAATTATTCATTTATATAAGTTTTATATTATTTATATAAGTACATAATATTATGTGGCTAAATTTTTATATTAATTAATAATTATTTGTTGAATGTTTTCTTCAAATTTTTGTATGCATGATGAATACAATTTTTATTTACACAAAATAAATAGTTGCAATGTGTACTATTAAATTTAAATTTTTTTTATTAAAAAATAATTTACAATCTATACAGTAAATATACTTATAAGTATAATAAGTATAAAACAATTAATACAAGGTTCCTTATAAGTTGTTATTA